ACCACATTTAATAAAGTCCTGTTCATAAGAAATAAAAAACCAGGATTGCTATGTCTTAGGTGTTAATTTATGCTATATATATATAGCAATAAATTATTTCGTAACAATAAATTAATTTCCCAATAAAGCTCCCAATAAAGCTCGAGCTTCATAAACTACGAAAAAATCGTCAGAAACGTTCTCGACTTTTCTCCTTTCGAAAGCAAAATTATAGATAACCGCGCGACATAATTTATTCCAGGTAAAAAAAAAACAGTAAGTCGTTCAAACGAAATCATAAATTACCGTCCCCGCCGGATCCGAGTAACGCTAAACTCGACAAACCGAGAAACAATACTGGTAAACACAGCGCGCCGAATAAATTATTTAGAATAAATTATTTTAATGAAATCTTGGTTCGCTGTCCCTGCCGGTCATAAATTAACAACCCCGACTTTCAAGGAAAACCGCTAATAAACGTTGTATAAAAATTCTCGGCGCTCTGTTATGCGAAGATAAAAACCGATAACCGCGGCATCAATTATTCCAGCTAACGAACAATGAATTATTTTAACGAAATGTTATATGTCGTTCTTTCTCTGCCGGTAATAAATTAACAACCCCGGCTACCGCGAGCCAAGAAAAACTACCACCGATTACAACGTAGATTATTTCGCGAATAATGGAGAGAATGATAAATCACTGTCTTACTGGCTACTATAACTGGCTACTGTAACTATCTACAGTAATGTCTCCCTAACTGACGCTTAGATTGTGCAGGAAAATGGACAATTTGGGAAGAGGAGATACGATTATTCCGGCTTTGTACTATGTTTTTATAATCGTTGACAATTTATACAACTATAAAAACCAGCCGCAAAGCTCGAATTCGCAAGGCTCCTCTTCCCAAATTGTCCATTTTTGTGGACAATCTGAGGAGATGCAATTATTCGAGTCTCGCGGCTCCTTTTTGTGATTGTTGACAATCGGCAACCATAAAAAACGAGCCAGAAAGCTCGAATAATCGCATCTCCTCTTCTCAAATTGTCCATTTTTGTGGACAATCTGAGCGTCAATTAGAGAGCCATTACTGTACAGTAAATCTTCCCTAATTGACGCGCAGCTTGGAAACAAAAATGGACAATTCGATAAGGAGAGGTACGATTGTTCATACGATTATGTCAACAACTATAACAAAACAAATCGTGTAATAAAAAATAATCGTATCCCCTCTTCCCGAATTGCCCATTTTTGGCTTCAAGCTGAGCGTCGATTAGGGAGAATTTACGGTAAACAGCAGGAAGCATCGCGAAAGGCAGCGTCGAACGCGAGCGACGTGTTCATTCGTCTTCCAAATATTGCCACAGAGGATCTTTGACTCGACGCAAAAACCTTCTGCAGGTTTTTAGGAGACAGCGCAAGAAATATGTGCACGATGGGGGAGGAAATGCGGAGAGAAATTCCACGGAGATCCACAGTCGAATGATTAAGAAAGGAGATCCAATGAGCAACCATTTCGCTTCGAGACACAAGGAAGAGGACAGATCGAATAAACTGGTCCGTTAGGGTCGAATCATTAGGAGCATAAACGAGGACAGTAAATTCTCCCTAATTGACGCGCAGCTTGGAAACAAAAATGGACAATTTGGTAAAAGGAAACACGATTATTCCTATGATTATGTCAACAACTATAACAAAATAAATCGTGTAATAAAAAATAATCGTATCTGCTCTTCCTGAATTGTCCATTTATCTGCACAATCTGAGCGTCGGTTAGGGTGATATTACTGTACTGTAAAGATCTGTAAAGATCTGCTGCAACCACAGAAGAATTTTCACAGATCGCAGTTGTCGCCGAGAAATTGCGGGCCGCGCGGGCCGGCGAATAATTTCCGATTACAGTAAATTCTCTCTAATCGAGGCTCGGATTGTGCACAAAAATGGACAATTTGGGAACAGGAGACACGATTAATCGAGCCTTGCGGCTCGTTTTTATAGTTATTGACAATCGGTGATGGTAAAAACGAGCCGCAAAGCTCTCCTCTTCCTAAATTATCCATTTGTTTTTTTTTTTGCACAATGTGAGCGTCAATTACAGAGAATTTCCAGTAATTTCCAATGAACGCGACGCGGACCAACCTCATTTCTGGAAAATCGCTGGCACAATGGAAGTAGCGTGGCCGGTGAAAAGTAACTTCGTGGTATACGTCGAAGCCGATAACGCGTTCCAAAGTGAATTCAACACGGTCTAACTGGCGCGGCCGTTCGGCGAACGTGTACCAAGTACCGCTGGTTGAACACCGACTGATCTAATTTCCTAGCATCGACTGGGATCCTGGCTGTCTGCTGGACACCTCGCCCGCGATATTGTGTAACCACGCACAGGACGCGGGTTGGTGTGCGCACACCCACCGCGGCGGGACCCAATCCGCGATCTTTTGTGACATTCAAACGAGAGCTCGTGGGACCCAGCCGATCACCTTCCCTCGAAAGGTTAACGATCGAGGCGATTGTTGCACCTGAAACCGCGTCGCTGAAGTTTCTAAGAACGCGCGTATATACGACTACTAGCGGGAGCTTATCGCGGTTAATTCAATCAATTGCACGAATAAGCTGAAGACAATGCTTGCGCCGATATCGATCGAAGTTTCTTATTCGCAGTTCTGTTGGCAGATGTTTGTTAATAGGAACCGCAGGCTCGTTCGACGAGTATACTCGTCATGAGAAAAGATACTGCCGCTTCTTCGTGACGAGTATATTCGTCGTGACACAAAATACTGTCGCTTCTTCGTGACGAGTATATTCGTCACGACATAAAATACTGTCGCTTCTCCGCGACGAGTATACTCGTCACGATACAAAATACTGCAATTTCTCCATGGCGAGTATACTCGTCACGACACAAAATACTGCAATTTCTCCATGACGAGTATACTCGTCACGACACAAAATACTTCCGCTTCTCTATGACGAGTATACTCGTCAAGACACAAAACATCGTCACTTCTCCGCGACGAGTAAACTCGTCACGATATAAAATACTGCCAACTTCTCTGTGACGAGTATACTCGTCACGCCGTAAAATACTTCCGCTTCTCTATGACGAGTATATTCGTCAAGACACAAAACATCGTCACTTCTCCGCGACGAGTATACTCGTCACGCCGTAAAATACTGCCAACTTCTCTGTGACGAGTATACTCGTCACACCGTAAAATACTTCCGCTTCTCTATGACGAGTATATTCGCCAAGACACAAAACATCGTCACTTCTCCGCGACGAGTATACTCGTCACGACATAAAATACTTCTGCTTCTCCGTGACGAGTATACTCGTCAAGACACAAAACACTGTCACTTCTCCGCGACGAGTATACTCGTCACGACGTAAAATACTTCCGCTTCTCTATAAAATACTGCCAACTTCTCCGCGACGAGTATAATCGTCACGACATAAAATACTGCCGCTTTTTCATGACGAGTATACTCGTCGTGACAAAAAACACTGTCACTTCTCCGTGGCGAGTATACTCGTCAAACACAGCTAACTGATTAAATCGAGAATTGCTTCCTCGGATTTCTCGACGCTGATCTTGCAATTTCATGAAAAATCAAAGTTAGGAAACTTTCTCTAAATTCTGATCGATTGAATTGTCTTCGAGAACAATCGAAATGGTAAAATTTCGTCGACTCGTAAGAATCGGCGTGTGACGAAAACATTTTGCACGATGTAACAACTTTTACGCAGCTTTTTAGAATATGTGAGACAATTTCCAGCGGGGAAAGTGTGATTGGAAAAGAAGCGCGATCACGTCGAGGTGATAATTTTTCAGGCACTGTAGCACGGGACAACGGTGAACACCGTCGTAGATTAATCATTAAGTCGTCACAGCGCACAAGTTACAACACTTCAATCCGTTCCGGGAGAAGCATTTACAAGGATGAAGGTAATACAGACTTTGAAGTTCAGGACTTCGATGCGGTAACGCGGCAGATATGGATCAGACGTCGCCGGAGAAAGTATTTCGCGGTCGGCGCTAAAAGGAGAAGTCTGCGTCGGGGTTTTGCAGCTGTGGAATAAGCGGAACGCCCACCTGGAACGCAACAATTGAATTGCGATCCGGGCAAGCGTTACTGGAATTTCAGGAATTTCATTTTACAGTAGAAAAAGTCCTCGATCGCGAGCTTCCGCAAAGTACAGTAAATTCTCCTTAATCGACCGTCAACCTGGAAACAAAGATGGACAATTTGGGAAGAGTAGGTTCGATTATTCGAGCCTGCCGGCTCGTTTTTATTGTACGAGTATAATCGACATGGAGAAGTGGTTGAACTTCCGCGAAGTACAGTAAATTCTCCTTAATCGACCGTCAACCTGGAAACAAAGATGGACAATTTGGGNCAGATATGGATCAGACGTCGCCGGAGAAAGTATTTCGCGGTCGGCGCTAAAAGGAGAAGTCTGCGTCGGGGTTTTGCAGCTGTGGAATAAGCGGAACGCCCACCTGGAACGCAACAATTGAATTGCGATCCGGGCAAGCGTTACTGGAATTTCAGGAATTTCATTTTACAGTAGAAAAAGTCCTCGATCGCGAGCTTCCGCAAAGTACAGTAAATTCTCCTTAATCGACCGTCAACCTGGAAACAAAGATGGACAATTTGGGAAGAGTAGGTTGGATTATTCGAGCCTGCCGGCTCGTTTTTATTGTACGAGTATAATCGACATGGAGAAGTGGTTGAACTTCCGCGAAGTACAGTAAATTCTCCTTAATCGACCGTCAACCTGGAAACAAAGATGGACAATTTGGGAAGAGTAGGTTCGATTATTCGAGCCTGCCGGTTCGTTTTTATTATACGAGTATAATCGACATGGAGAAGTGATCGAACTTCCGCGAAGTACAGTAAATTCTTCTTAATCGACCCTCAACCTGGAAACAAAGATGGACAATTTGGGAAGAATAGGTTGGTTTATTCGAGCCTGCCGGCTCATTTTTATTGTACGAGTATAATCGACATGGAGAAGTGGCAGTATTTTGTGTCGTGACGAGTGTACTTGTCATGCGTAAAAATGTAGTGGCCATTGGCTATCTGAATTGTAATTTTAGTGAAAATAAAAAGATATTCTCAAATTTCTAGATGTTTAGAATATTTTGAAGCCGATCCAGGTGTTTACATTGTTATAAAAATAAGATTAGGAAAGAATCACGATATTGGTATTCGACGTGCAAAGCGCCATTAGTTCCAGAAGTTCCAGAAGTTCCAGAAAGTCCAGAAGTTCCAAAGTTCCAGAAAGTCCAGAAGTTTCAGAAGTTTTAGAAAGTCCAGAAGTTTCAGAAGTTTCAGAAAGTCCAGAAGTTCCAGAACTTACAGAAGTTTCAGAAGTTTTAGAAAGTCCGAAAGTTCCAGAAAGTCCAGAAGTTCCAAAAAGTTCAGAAGTTCCAGAAGTTCCAGAAATTCCAGAAGCTCCAGAAAGTCCAGAAGTTCCAAAAAGTCCAGAAGTTCCAAAAAGTTCAGAAGTTCCAGAAATTCCAGAAAGTCCAGAAGTTTCAGAAGTTTCAGAAAGTCCAGAAGTTCCAGAAATTCCAGAAAGTCTAGAAGTTCTAGAAGTTCCAGAAAGTCCAGAAGTTCCAAAAGTTCCAGAAACGACCGACTTTTTAGTTGCCGATTATCAACAAGTACATATTCTCCCTAATTCTCCTCCAGCTTGTAAACGATAATGGACAATTTGGAAATAGGCGGTACGATTATTCGGTCTTTTTTACAAGCTAAAATTAGGGAGAGTTTGCTGCACCTAAGACTGAAATGTCATCGAGCCGACAGCACAAGACGTTTTATGATCGAATGAAGCGATAATACGACGATTAAAGTTGGCCGTATTAGACACGGTGCACGATTACGCCGGTTCGCGAAGAAAACGACAGTGGCACGAGCCTGGATAGTGGTAAATGTTATGTGGATGTCCTTGATAGGTAACTCCGGTCGAAAGTGCCCCGGAACTATAGGCCGCACCCAACGTTCCCAGTAACCTCCTACGTTTTTGGCGATTGCCCGAGGACACGGCGAATTTCTCCGTAAATGGCTCATCGAAAGCAACAATTAGGTAAGCTCGGTTTTCCGTAAGCGGGCGCGGCGCGCGTTTTTTTTCTTTTTTTTCTTTTGGTTTTTATCTGGTCCGTCGACCGATCGGATCGGAACAGCTTGTCTTCCAGTCTAGAATTCCGCTCAATTAAGTTCCGCATTATGTATGAAGTTGTATATAATCGTAGTTACTTTCAGACTAGCTCCACGACAACCGAATCTGAACAACGTTAAAATACATATTTTTAACGTGCCGGCTATTAAAAGTAATTATCAACTGTTGCCTTGGAACGACGATTGTTTAGACCTTCGTCAATTTTTGTTGCAACAGAGGAGTCAATATAATTTCAACTTGGAAATAAAAAATGGGAAATCGGTGAATTTAACCGGCTCGGTAGATTTATTGTTAGAAGATTAGTAAATGAAAAGATATCGAAAAATGAATGACTTGTTGACATTTATATAATATGTAATATGTAATAACAATATGCAATGTGTAATGTGTAATGTGTAATATGTAATGTGTAATATGTAATGCGTAATAGGTAATGTGTAATATGTAATGTGTAATATGTAATGTGTTATATGTAATATGTAATGTGTAATGTGTAATATGTAATATGTAATGTGTAATATGTAATATGTAATATGTAATATGTAATATGTAATATGTAACATATAATATATAATGTGTAATATGTAATATGTAACATATAATATATAATGTGTAATATGTAATATGTAACATATAATATATAATGTGTAATATGTAATATGTAACATATAATATATAATGTGTAATATGTAATATGTAACATATAATATATAATGTGTAATATGTAATATGTAACATATAATATATAATGTGTAATATGTAATATGTAACATATAATATATAATGTGTAATATGTAATATGTAACATATAATATATAATGTGTAATATGTAATATGTAACATATAATATATAATGTGTAATATGTAATATGTAACATATAATATATAATGTGTAATATGTAATATGTAACATATAATATATAATGTGTAATATGTAATATGTAACATATAATATATAATGTGTAATATGTAATATGTAACATATAATATATAATGTGTAATATGTAATATGTAACATATAATATATAATGTGTAATATGTAATATGTAACATATAATATATAATGTGTAATATGTAATATGTAACATATAATATATAATGTGTAATATGTAATATGTAACATATAATATATAATGTGTAATATGTAAT